TTTTTTGAATTGTGTAATAGTACGGATGATTTTGGTGCCTTTGCAAGAACATTACTCTATTCACAAGTACCACGCTATTTCACATAGGCTCAAACAAAAAAATGGATGCCCCGCAAGCAAGGCTTACCAGTTGATGCATGTCTCAATTCATTTAAATCGAACGCTTATTTACAGATAATCCAAGACACACTGAGTGCTTTTATCTTCGACTGTTGTTGGTTAATGTTACTGGCCCATTATCATTATTATTATTTACAGTCAATCCAAGACAATTTAAATTTGAAGATACAAGAGTTGTTGCCAGGGAACTTGGTATCATACAAATCTATTGATTTTAAATTAATAATTTAATAAATAAACTATAATAACTTAAATAAATATTGTTTTGGCGTTTGTGCTATTTTTATTTTCCTTTTCGTTCATAGCGCTCCATGCCTATTTCATGCATATACCACATACTTACACACTTATAACAAGTAAGTTACTTTTTATCTACACTAGAATTTATCTAGAAACTAGAAATAATTTATAAGGCAAAACAACGTTTGTCGGGTTATCTAGTATATATATAATATTAACTACATTATCGGCAAAACTTAGAATTTCCCTCATTTAGAACGCAAATTAGCTTAACTCGCACACGTCCTAAATATAATTTGTATAATATGATATATATCAGGACTGTCGAAACCAGATGTGATCGCGTCCCATGTGGTTTGGACAACCCTGAAACCAGACGGGCCGCATGTGGTTTGAAGAACCCTGATATACATGATATTAAACACACATATCTGTTAAATCGCTACTGAACAGCCATCAATATAAAATGATGAATTTATTTAAACATAGGAGCACTTTTCATCACATCACGGAAATCAACGATTTGGTGCTCCATAATCGTTTGATAAATAAAGACATCATAGATACTATGAATATTCCATTTTAATTAATTCACTTTATTTTAAGTATTTTTATGCCATGCCATTTTGTTATGTTAAGGTATTCGCAAAAAGATAGCAAAATTTTAAGCAAGCTTGATTTATGCACCACGTTAATAGTGTAAACATTATAATGGAGATAATCATCTCACACTGCATTGGTTTCTCGACAAAAACTACCCTCATACACAATTGACTTGATTTTACACCGTGTAACTTCTGGCTACTTCCTTAATCTCGAGAGACCGCTTCGGGAAGACTGTTTCGACAGAATCTAATGTGATCTATTACACTCTAAACTGATGCGTTGTCTTTTCGGCGTTAGTATGATGTATTACTTACAAAGTTAAATAGCGATAAATGTTCTCACCTATTAGATATCAAAGACCTGAGCGGATCGACTACCGTGATGGCTATAACATCACATCAGTAGACACATTGCCATGAGACTCAACGCAATGTATCAAGCACAGACACCTGCCAGTAGTGTCAAATCTTCATGATATTTTAATAAGGACTCACAAAATCTTTTCATAAGTGCATATTTCATGATAATAATCCATCGTGCTATCAACTTTGCAATATATTCTACTACCCACCCATATATATACACTATATTTAATAATAATATCGTTTCAATTAGTTAGAGCGTATTGCAAAATATGTCATTCGAGAAAATGTACTTGGACTCACAAATCTGCTAACACTTGTTATCTAATTGTAATCTGTAATTAAACTAAATTTATTTATTTAAGGACGTGTGCGAGTTAGGCTAAGTTGCGGTATAAATGTGGAAATTCTAAGTTGTGCCTATAATGTAGTGATGTATGCAGTGCAAAAAATCCCAAAAAATCTCCCATTTGGTTTAGCATCAACTTAGCCTAACTCGCACATGTCCTAAATATACCACCTAATCGTAAACAGACCAGTTAAACTGAAACCAGTTATTTAATTAAATTTATTCATGTGTTCGATGACTACAGCTTTATTGTTGCCAGTGATGCGGTTATAGTGTGGCCACTTAAAACGTACAATGAACAAACAACCAGTATAATCAACAACCATTCGAAACCTGGAGACAAATATTGAGTGCGTCAATCTTAAAGTGCTACCCTAAATATATTGTTGTAAACAATTAGAGCTTCAAAAATTTTAAAAAAAATATTTCCGTAACGACTAATTGATTAAAATTAAAAAAAAAATAAATTTAAAGCAACCAAGCTCTCTACGCGAGATCCTGAGTATAACTTATTCATGATAATTTCATACTTTATACTGATTAGTATAAGTTTGAAGATGTTAACGCTCAGAAAAGGATCCATCGATTTACCCTATCTAGAAGTCTTCATATTATATTTTCAAGTATTGTTGTGTATAGCTCGACTTTTTTTTCATTAAGTTCAGTTCTTTGTTTAAATAAAAAAATCTTAAAAAATATAAGGGAACATAAGGGAAATTAGAATTAATAAAATTTCCTCAGTATTAACCTTAGTATAACCCTGGCTTTCTTTTTAATATTTTAGTTTAAATGTTCTTATCAATTAAAAATTCTTACCTTTGCAGCCATTCAACCAAAAAAGAAAAACACTATTTCATTAAACAATTTATTGAAACATCAAAAAATAACAGTTTTGTGAATACATAATATGTATGATGATATATTATTATATCTGCTTAAGTATTTTAAATATTAAATCCATAAAAAAAAACAATATTATTAAAACTGAATTAGAAATTTAATTCATCAAGTGGTTCATTCTTAATCCATGGCCCCAACTCATCCGTTGCTATAATGCCAGCAGTTTCGTCTTGAGAATCACTGTTGTCGGGTGGTGGTTGTGGTTTGCTCGCCCTTTTTCTGATTACTTTAGTTGGTTTCTGAACTGGTTTTTGAACTACTTTTGGAGCAGTTATTGGTGCATTTTGTCTTAAGAGGCTAGCACTCAAATTATTTATTGCTCTAGCATTATTTGCGGTAGAAACATTTTTAACTGCAACATTAGGACTTATTCTCAATGGTGCCATAACAATTGGTACTGTCGTTTTTTGTATTGGTGTCAAGCTAGGCACAGCGTTTGCTGTGGACACTGTAGTTGGTGTATTACTCTTCATTGGTGAAAATGTCGTAGCAGTTGGAGCTGTGGGAATGAAAACGCCATTCTGATTATCATATAAAGTAATTGGGCGTACGCGCTGTCCATTTGCAAGTTGTATTGATTGTGCTGCTATTATACGTTGAGTTGCATTGTTTTTTGGTAAAGCTGTTATAAACGGTGACAACGTGCCGCTTATACCCGCAGTAGAGGTTCTA